CTTTTTGCTAAGGTGGGTGGTTTCACGGATGGGTGATTTTCCCCCCTCCTTTGGAGAGGGGGATCAATGTGCAGAGCCTCCTTACTTCTTAGGTTTGCAGGAGACAGTTTATCTTTTTCACGAAATAAAGTTCTGGCAAGGGATTTTAAGCACACTGGAAGCCGAAACTGGTGGTGAACAGTAGAGTAAAAGTTAATTGGTTGCTAAGGGTTTTCAAACGTAGCATCTTAGGTTGAAAAAACTATGGCAGCCTTCATAGAAGTATAAACCAGTCATCAATTTTGGGTTATATTGGTGATACCTTCAGAATATTGATGTAGTTTTATTCTAAAGGGCATATGATCATGCACATGCTTCCTTGAAAAATGATAAGATATAGATGGGCAACATTGGAATCCTTACCATGTGGATTTTTAATTGTCTGTTAAGAACGGATTAGCTAATTCTGATGAGTGTGAATTCCCAGAAATTAGTCAAAAGGGCATGATGAGAACATCTAAATGGAGAAAGGGTGCCTGAATGATGACACTTCTTCTATGGGAAGTTGTGAGTTCAAGCCTCCCTATCTACAGCTGGCAAGGAGAGTGTTGAACTAATTTAGAAGCCATTTTTGAAGGGTTGTCACCCAACGACTTGAGTTAATGGTGCTTGAAGTTTGCTAGTGGATTCACTGGCTCGCGGAGGTTTCACCCAGCGCAGGATCAACATGTTTCCCAGTCAAGTTCGTTCTCCTTTTAACGAAGCTCCTCGTTCAGCCTTTGGGTTTTTTTGTGCCTCCTTTCCTTTCTGTTCATAATCTTTCTGGCCCCCACCAAATAAAATAAAAAGAATGAATGAAAAGGAAGGTGCTGTGAACTATCCATAGCTATATAGACTAACATCAGATAGTCTGACTTTGACCACCTAGCCTATCTATTATGTTCTCAGGAGATGTTTCCATTTTGGTTTTCTCTTGTTTTTCATGGCCACATTCGTGAGTGGGTTTTCAGACCAACAGTAAACCTAGATTACTTCTTGAGTCCTGCACATTTTATTGCAGATGTCTTTCAATGCTTATCTAATTTGGTGAAGGTAACTAACATCTTGTCTTCAGTTGTTGCTAATTATCTAAGTGATTTCTACTACAGGTGTGCTTCTTGGTGATCTACTTGTAGCTGAAGATCTGGCTGCTGCTGAAACAACAAGTGCAGCATCCCACGCAGCTGCAGCTGCAGCATCCAGCATACAACCTGGAAGATCACCTGGACGGTTCACAACCAACGATGAGAGAAATAGGCAAAGTCCTGAAGCAGTTCCTGATGGTGCAGTTGTTCTTGGAACACCAGTTGCTCCTCCTATTAATGGGGATATGCATACTGATATAAGCAGTGAAAACGCAATGCTTCAGGGTCCAAGGTAATATCTCTCCTTTATATATAAAGAGAAATTAGTGGAACTCCTAAATGCATTAAAAATTGACATGTGTTATATTATGAAGTCACAAAAAGCTGACGTGTCATATTATAAGTACACCTAATTAGAATATGATAAGTGGCCTATATTCACGTAAAAATCCTCATCAAATTAAAACAACTCATAATTAGAAAATTCTACTAATCAAATATTTTGTAATCCTTATCAAATTATAACTATCCATATTAATTTTTTTTCATAATTATATATTTAAACATAGAAATATAGTCACTCAGGAATCCTCATCAAATTAAAACTATCCGTAAATAGAAAATTCTACTAATCAAATATTTTGTAATCCTTATCAGATTATAACTATCCATATTAAAAGGAAAAAAATCTCATAATCAATCTTTAAATATGGAAATTAAAGAAAAAACTCATGTAGAGAGCCTCTCTACGTAAAATCATGGGTTAATTTTTAGAAAAACCCCCTTAACTATTTTAATTTGAGAAAACTTCTTCAACTATGAAAATTTGAGATAACCCTGAACTTTTCCCATTTCCCCCTCAAACATGAGGTGTGTCTGAGAAAATCCCCCTCAACTATTTTAATTTGAGAAACTCTCTCAAGTTTGAGCATATTGTAAATAACCCCCTCAAGTTTAAAATTTCCAAAAAACCCCATGAACTCTTCTCACTTAAGCCCTGAAATCTAACACCGTTAGGTCTAGCATGTCATATGACAAGTAGGTGACTGAAAAAAATTTACGTCTCAATCATAAAAAATCACTCTGAATTTTTTAGGATATAAAAAAGAGAGTAAAAAGAAGGGAAAACATTGTAAATTAATCAATATCTTTTTTTACCATTTAGGGGTTTCTTAGTAACTGAATTGGTTGATTTTCAAAAGGGTATTTCAGTTAGTTTACATTTTGAAATGATGTCAGAGTTTTGGTGAGAAGTGTGAAAGAGTAGGGGAATTTTGTGAGACAACCCATAGTTGTGGGGAGTTTCTCTAATTTTGAAAGTAGAGTGGAGTTATCTATAATATTTCTAAACTTGAGGGGCATTTTCTCAAATTAAAATAGTTGAGGGGGTGGATTTCTGAAACATTCACCATTTGTGACTCACCCGTGTGAGCACGGGCAAATACAAGTATCATATTGATGATGAATGTGTGTGATTTTCATGCTTTATATCTCAGCCTTCTACTTTAATAGTAAAATCCTGATGCTACCTATCCCACCTAATTTGCTTAGTCAATGGTAGTTATGGGATTTTTTTTTGAAAATGCAACTTAGGATTACTCTTGGCACAGGAGATTGAGTAAAGGTGTCGAGTACCTGGTTGAAGCTTCAGCAGCAGAAGCGGAGGCCATCAGTGCTGCTTTAGCTGCTGCCAAGGCCCGACAAGTTAATGGGGAGTCCGAACAATTGCCTGATCGAGATGGTGGTGCAGAAGCTAGTCCTACCTCAAAACAGACCCCATCCCTAATCAAAGTGCCAGAGACTTCTTTATCCAATAGCACTATGCCACCTGGGGTTCGGCTACATCATAGAGCGGTTAGTGTACTACTATCAAAATGATTTGATCCCTTTCTGCATCCTGTTATATGGTGGAATAGGATCTGACTCTATTCTCTTTTCTTGCTCAATTTACCAGCTTAAAGTCACACCTAACATCACTTAAACAAAATGTTAAATCAATGAGCCTCTAATGATTTATGCAGGTGGTTGTAGCTGCAGAAACAGGGGGTGCTTTAGGAGGAATGGTACGGCAGCTCTCCATTGACCAATTTGAGAATGAAGGAAGGAGAGTGAGTTATGGTACACCCGAGAGTGCAACTGCAGCTAGGAAGTTATTAGACCGGCAAATGTCAATCAACAGTGTGCCCAAAAAGGTTGGTTGTTCTAATCACTATTGGAAAGGGTATCCTACATGGTTGACTTTGTGCAGTTATAGCTTTTCATGTTGGTCTGTAGGTATTGAATTTTTGTTCCTGTAATCTTTATGCACACCGAAATCAGCAGATCCTGATTTTTTCTGTTCCCTACCGAAACCAAATGGATATGTCATATGAAATGCCAAGCTTTCTGGTTATTCATGTTTTCTAGATCAACTATTCTACACTAGTTTTCAAATATTGATATCATATAATTATTCTATGAGAGATGAAAGTGTCGCTGCCTTATCTTTATTTGGAGGTAGATGCACATTTAAGGAGCTGTTTTCTATTCTGTTGATATCATCAAATAGGAATCACATAAGTTGCAAACTTAATTTGGTTTAATCTTTATCATTGCTTATTATCATTTAGTATTTAGTGTTATATTATTATATAAGTTAGTTTGCTGTTGTGGTGTTATCATGGAATGGGAATTAGCTCCCATTTTGAACTTTCGATCGATTAGGTTAGGTTTATTTCTACTTAGATATTGACTTCTTGAGGATGAAAGCAAATCTGTAATACTTTGATATGGTCTTTTGACCCATATCTTGCATTGAAGTTTTGGTGCCGTGATAGGATTGTGAAGGTCTCATAAATCATAAACAGGTGAAGATCGCTGCTCTTAGTTGTTGGCATTGAAATTTTCTTTATTCTCATAGTATGATACTATGAGTAGCATATGATTGTGAGGTTCTATCATGAAGCTTCTTCATGTGGATAATATATGACATTATTTAAAAAAAAAAGATAAGATTCTTTTCTTCTGGTGTCCTTTTCTGTTTTTGCAAATTCGGTGCGGTCATCTCATATTTAGCATTTCCAATGTCTTATCAGGTCATTGCACATCTTTTAAAGCCTCGTGGTTGGAAGCCCCCTGTTCGCAGACAATTCTTCTTAGATTGCAATGAATTAGCAGATCTGTGTGACAATGCAGAAAGAATATTTTCTAGTGAGCCGAGTGTTTTGCAAATCAGAGCCCCTGTCAAAATCTTTGGTGATCTACATGGTCAATTTGGAGATCTCATGCGTTTGTTTGATGAGTATGGTGCTCCTTCAACAGCTGGGGATATAGCGTAAGTATTGCCAAGCAGATATCTGGGAACTCTAGATTTCTTTCTTCATCCTATGCTTGGAAATATTGATACTGCTGCTGTGATACTCCGGCAAGATGGTTATAGAAAATTATAATCACTTAGCTTGAATTTTAGTCTAAATTTATTTACAGTATTTCCTATCTTCTTCTATGGAGGCTTCTATTGTTGGTTTGTCATGAAATAGAAATAGCCAATATGTCTGCCCTTTGGCACAAGAACACGGTTCTGCGCATATCCTGTTGCCTAATTTGTGATAGCTATTTTAAAAGCAAACATGCACTTTATTGTGATTAATATGCATGGTTATGCATCCAATGCAGATTTTTTTTCTTCATACAAATTGAAGGAGCTAATGGTTTCGGAAGATCTTTTTTTTTTCTATGCATTTGAACTTTTCATAAAATTGTAAAATTGAACCTGGATTTTGTTAGTTGGTGAAAAGTTACTCAAATTTGTATGTTTCATTAGATAGTTTAAGAATATTCAGAAAAGCTCATTTCTGTTATTTGATTCCATATTTGGAGACATGTGGAAAGTAGGAATTTTATTCCAAAGGCATTCTAAAACTGGTTTAAAAAGTTTCATTGGTTTCATACGTGATCCTTGGACCTTTGTTTATCTTTTTCCCCCTGTCAGCAGAGTGTCTTGGCCGTACAGAGAGGCTTGGAGCTTTGTTTATCATTATTGAATCTGACACTAGCTTATGTTTCTTATTGGGACTTTGCACATCCTGATTTCATATAATTTTCTAGTTATATTGATTATCTCTTCTTGGGAGATTATGTGGATCGCGGTCAGCATAGTCTGGAAACAATCTCTCTTCTCCTTGCATTGAAGGTACTACTTTGGCCTGCATTCATAACTTCTGCTTAATATGTTTATAAACTATCCCACCTAATCATAAGCAGTAGGCTGATGAATTAGCTGCTACTGTTTTTGGTTGTCAGGTTGAGTACCCTCATAATGTACATTTAATTCGTGGAAACCATGAAGCAGCAGACATCAATGCCTTATTTGGATTCCGAATTGAATGTATAGAGCGAATGGTAGGTTCTATTCTCTTTTATTTATGTTTTTTTACCATTCACTGCAAGTTTGTTGATATTTTGCACATGGGAGCAGGGAGAGCGAGATGGAATTTGGGCTTGGCATCGCATAAATCGACTATTCAACTGGCTTCCTTTGGCTGCACTTATTGAGAAGAAAATCATTTGCATGCATGGAGGTATTGGTCGGTCTATAAATCATATAGAACAGATAGAGAACCTACAACGTCCAATTACAATGGAAGCCGGCTCAGTTGTTCTTATGGATCTATTATGGTCAGTACGTCTTCTAGTCATAGTACTTTGGCAATGCTGTCTTTCCCATTAATTTGTCGTGTTATCCCTTTTAACTCTTTCTTCTTTGTGCAGGTCTGATCCAACAGAGAATGACAGTGTTGAAGGCTTAAGACCAAATGCAAGAGGTCCAGGCTTGGTTACCTTTGGGGTCAGTTTTCTTCCCCCTCTTCCTCTCTTCTACATTTTGTTATTGGCTTTGTTTTTTCTGCCTGAATCTACATCCTAATTCAGCACAATGTCAAATATTGCTTAAGTTATATAAACTCGCTGTAATTGAGCTCAGATTATGTTAATGGGATATTTATCAATTAGCTAGGATCAGAAAGAGATATAGGGGCGAATTCTTTATTAACAATTTAGTGGAGGGCTTGAGGTCACTATAAATATAACGTCAGCACGTCCTTTCACTATCTTATCTTTTGTTTAAGAGAAAGATTAAAGCCATTTGTAATTTCATAGACGATCCGATCAATATGCCCGGAGTTATGTTAGCATCAATATGAATATCATGGTGCTTTAGTCTCCCAGCACATACTTCCCTTGAGGTTCTCTCTAAACCTGTGCAAAGAAACTGACAGAAAAACTACCATTTGGTTGGATGGTGGATTTTACTAGACATGCTTGGTGAAAAGTCTTGAAATGGTGCTGATTAGAGGGGATAGAAACATGTGAAACTACAGAATTGCGTCTTCAGTGTCATCTATCTATATGCAGTCTTGGGTAGGCTACATGCGTTATTTGTAAATTGAAGTGTATCGATCTCTAATCATATGCTTTTTTGGGATATGAGGGACACCTTGGAAGGACGAGGATCCTCGGGCTGAAGCCCGAGTTCAATCCCCGACCCCTACCAATTAAACGCCAGTCTGTGTGGGTCCCACCTCCCATTCGCACACTCCAGGTTAGGCTGATGAGATTTGAACCAGGGACATGGGGGTGTTGGTAGTATTACTACGGTGTCCCCAGGCCACCTGCACTATCTGTGATGGGTATTCCCTAATCATGTTACTTGTCTGCTTCTTGGTTCTCTTGCCCAACGGGCATCTCATCTATTCATGGTGCCAATGGTTTTACTATTCAATTTCTCTTGTATTATTACAACCTTATTGTTCTAATTATATGTATCACTATTTCATGGCTTTCCGATCGTGTTTGCTTCAATGCAGCCTGACCGAGTCATGGAGTTCTGCAACAACAATGATCTCCAGTTGATAGTACGTGCACATGAATGCGTGATGGATGGATTTGAGCGATTTGCTCAAGGACATCTAATTACTCTTTTCTCTGCCACTAACTATTGTGGTAGGTTTATCTTTTCGAAATGGTCACATAAATAATGATTTCTTTTTCACTTCTTTTTCTTTTACATGTGCCTTGTGTTGTGGTTCTGCATGTAGGTACTGCGAATAATGCAGGTGCTATTTTAGTTTTGGGAAGGGACCTTGTCGTTGTTCCAAAACTAATTCATCCTTTACCCCCAGCCATTAGTTCACCTGAGGCATCACCTGATGGTCACATTGATGATACATGGATGCAGGTAAATGTCTTCCATAAAAACTTCCAGTGATTTACGCTCAAGTTATTGATTGTGAGACCAAACTTTCTGATGGTTGTTTTAGTTTTATTTTTCTAATTCTTAATTCCTACTTCATCTGTTTTCCTTGTTTTTGTGCTATCAGGAGCTTAATGCCAACAGACCACCAACCCCAACAAGAGGTCGCCCTCAAGTAGCAAATGATCGAGGTTCTCTTGCTTGGATATAGCAACCTTTTCCTATTGGATGTTTATTATAATCAAATTTCATTTGCAAATGGTCTGTGAGGCTCCAGCTGGCTTTTCTTGGCGTCCTTTCTCTCGAGAGCATAAGGAATCTTATACTCGAAGATGAAGATACATATGATCTGAGGTCATAAGTCCTGCAACGAGCCATTAAATGGATATCATTTGAGGCTGCAAAAGTTTCACGTCATATGAAAAAGCTGGTCACTGGAAGCAGATTGAGTATTAACTGCATGGAAATTTAACCTGCAGTGGGTCTCGGCGGGGGAAGTTCGATTTTTTTTGTTATTATGACATTTGAGAACAGAAGTCCTTCTGTCAAATTCACCTGATTAGTGCCCTCACGAGTTGGCCTCTGTATATTCAACCGCTGGCAGATAGGTTTGTGATGTAGTTATGGGCATTACCCATTATGTGGTTATTATATTAGGTTATTCTTTTCTTTTTAATTTCCTTTATTGGGGGTTGGTTACTTTTAGATGCTCTTCCTTGTGTAGATGATATATGGGGTCAGGGGTAGCGGTGATGGGTTCTACGATCTTATATATGGATGTTTTGTATCATAGATATTCCCACCTTCAGCACATTTTCGGTTGTAATTTTCTGTTGTGCTGTTGTATACGATGTAAGTTTTGAGTGGAAAACAATTATGGTTTGAATTAATGTTAACCGGAGGGTGTTGGTTTTGTTGTTAAATTGTTTTGTATTTGATTTGAAAACGCGGGAGGTTTTGGCTGTCACGGTGATGATTTACGCTCATTAGCCCTGGAAAGACGTCCTTCAGCCAATTCGCTCGAAACTATGGTTTTTCTATTGAAAATAACAACTGTGACGCATTACGCAATCAACTATTTGAACATCATCATAATCAGCATTATTGAGCTTATTTGATTCTAGACGGTATGCTCCTTAAACGCTGCATAATGCGATAGGCAACGGATAATTTCCAAATATACCAACCTTTACGCGATTTTTTTGAATTATGCCAAAATACACCCATCTCTAATTTTCTTGTAATGATCCCTTACAGACAGCATTACAGATAAGCCCTGCTCCGAGGGCTCGAATTCGATGGAAAGCCATCTGAAAGTGCTGTTGATCACGGTGGAGATGATGGAGAACTTGAAAAGAAGCAAAATAAGCTTGTATATATGAATATGTACGAAATATGAATAGGAACAAAATATGATCTCAGTTCCAGGGAACTTGGCATTGTATTATAAGCAACTTGAGTTTATCGAATGCAAATTACAAATCCAGACCACCACCAAAACCATAGTCAACTTGCTCATTCAACTCTCCAAAATCTTCTTACTTTCATGCCTCTGACCACACAAATTTCAGCAGATAATTTGATAGCAGTTGTGGGGCAAGACCCATATTCTCTATTTAGTCATTAGAATCTAACTAATAATTCTCTCTCCCATCCATCCTATATCACAATATCCTTAACACGGTCGGTAGCAGCAGTATTCGAGGCTCTCTGTGAAGCAAGATTCAAGCGCAAAGGCCTCCCTTGAACTTCCTAAGAAGCAAAAAACACAGGTCACAATTTATTTTCAATTCACCACACTCACTAATGTTCAAAATTTTACTGGTTATTTGCAGTATTGATACTCTTAAAGTCTATTTTGCCAGTTCGATACCCCAAAGTTCTCAAATTGAAATTAGTTCTACAATTTGATACCCCAGAAACTAAACTTTGCTCCTTGCTTTTTCAAAACTCAAAACTAAATTTGACGACAAAACTGTTTTCCCACTAACTTTTCTACGTCAATATATTTGAACAAAATTGTTATTTATTTTGCACTTCAAGGTATCAAACTAACTGTGGGAGTATCAAAGTGCAAATAACCAAAAAATTACCTTTCCATTCATCGCCTCCATTGCATTTTGCACATCCTCTTCAGAAACAAATGTCACAAATCCAAACCCTCTCGACCTCCCAGAAAACTGCTCATAAATAACCTTGGCTCCAAGAACTCCAGGTTGATCAGAGAAAGCTTCCTTTAGAGAATCTGAGGTCACTGACCACCCAAGATTGCCTGCGTAAATTTTGTATGGGCTGTCCATGTATCCACGAGAGTTAGACCTGGCCCGTGGACCCAGCACCTCTCGCTCACCGCCACGTGGCACTTCTGGGAAGTTTACCTTCACTGTTCGACCTCCCACTTGTGTTCCATTGAACATTCTGATGGCTGCCTTCGCATCGTCGTTGCTTGCCATGGTGACGAATGCAAAGCCTCGGCTACGGTCCGTGACTCGATCGTAGACTATCTGCAAATTGTTTGATATTAATATAGGCTTAATTTTGAAAAAAATGTCAGTGACCATCCAGGCTCTGTTGAAAAAACATAATAGAATTTTTCGTTGAGGAATCACCCTAAACTTGCAAGTTTTCAGAAAAATAACCTTCATATCTGTTAGAAAACATGTTTTATGCATGGCATGTAACAATTTTATTAATCATGTTCTTTGTCTTCTTTATTTGAATAGTAAACCCTCTAAAATAATTTTCATTTTATCAAAATTAAAAAATAAAAAGAATGATAAATAGATTATTTGTAGTAGAAAATAAGAAAGCATTAGGGAGTCCTTCACATGGTTGTGTAATTTCCTGGACCCCCATTGAATCTCCATATAGTTCCTGTAAACCAATCCTTGGTACATTTGCAAACTGATTCCCTCCGGTACACGTCACCTGAACTGGGGTACCACTTACAAGTATGCGGGCAAAGAAGTCCCTTTACGTGGACATGAACAAGGCGCAATGCACTCCGCGTAATCAAGGGAAGCGCGCATACATTATAGACAAACAAGCATGAAGAAACATATTTATGAGTTTTCACTCAGAACTGTTTAAATTCAGAATCAACTGAAGATGCAGTTGATGCTAAGGGAAAGAAAGATGGAAAGGAGAGAAAGATCATTAAGGGCCTTAGTCTATATTTTATATGTGGTTTGTGTTATGTATTCAGAAAGTTTGAAAATGAACCATTGAAGTATTTTGTATGCAAAAATATTGAAATGCAAAATTAACTTTTTAGTTTCTAGTTTTCTACTATACTTTGAATATGGCAAGTGCACCCAGATTTTTTTGCAACATATCACGTATCGAACTTGCGTACCCTCGAATCCAAATTTTCCAGGAGGCGAATTGCGTACCCGAATCCGTACCATGACCCACTACATACTGCATACTGTGTAACTATAGTCCTTTGCAAATGATTAATCCAGCCACATATAATAATTTTTGTAATCAGTTCAATTTGTAAAATTGTTAGGAATGGAACTGTGTTTTGATTGAATACTAAAACAGCCAAAAACTTTTAGGCGGAAATAGGGTCTCTATTGTCTTTATCATACATTAATATTGTCTTAGGGAAGAAAATTTTAATGTCAAAGCAGGGGTCTTTTGTTGGCAACATACATCAAGATCACCTTAGGCCTTTTTGTATTAAAGTTGATGACCTATGGAGCAAAGCTATCCAAAAAGATTAAGTTAACAGCATTTTATAAGCTTTTATCGACTTGAATCTAACCCTAATAAACTGGTACAAAACTTTTGCTGAAAATAAATACCCACCGCGCGTCGCGCAGGTGCCCTGGGGATGCAGTGGTCATGTTGCCAACAACCCCCATCTCTGGTTCGAATCCCACCTGCCTAACCAGGAGTGTGGGAATGGGAGGTGGTACCCACACACCCCGGACCCCGGATTACCTGGTAGGGGTCGCAGATTGAACTCGGGCGTTGGCCCAAGAATCCTCGTGCCTTGCCACTGCCGAGGTTTCCCTCATATCCCAAAAATCTAATGCTAAAAACCATTGAACTTCAAAGTAAAATCCATCAAGGAAAAGGCTATAATTCTGAAACTATCTGTGTATCTCTGGACCATTTAGTCTAAGAATGTGCACTAATTTCACACTAAATTTAACTCCAAACAACCAAACCCCAAATCAAGCTAAATAATCAATTACGTCAACAACAAATACACGCTACAATTACACAACACAAAAAAGACAAACTTTTTTTATAAGGGTTCATTGTTTCCAATACCTCAGCAGATTCTACCGTGCCAGCTTGCCCAAAAATCTCTGCAAGCTCAGACGAAGTCATTGAATAAGGTAAATTACCAACATACAATCTCCCCTCTTCCTTGTTCGACGAAGAAACCTCTCTCAATTTCCCCGATTCAATTTCTCCCTCCTCTTCTCCTTCTCCCTCTTCCTCCTCCTCTTGCTCTCTACCTTCGTCATCAAAGTTCTCTTCATCAGTCTCAGCGTACGCAGAGAAAGACGAAGAAGAGAAGACTCGAGAGCTGAGAGGAGCAAAAGGGGGTCTTAGGGTTACATTCAAATTGAGGGTTTTGGGTTCCAAGGGATTGAGGAGAAGAGAAGAGTGAGGGCTGATTCTGATGAGGCTGTTGTTGCTGTTTATGTTGGTGCTTGGGAGAGCGTGGAGAAGGGAGCGGAGTGATGCAGCAGCGACCGCCATTGCTTTCTTCTTCTCGTAAGAATTTTTTTGATTTTTTTGATTTTTTTTTGGGATTAGGCTTCTTATCGGTACCAGTGGATCTGCTCTCCCCCACTCAGGTGACTGTAAAGTTAATGCCTTGTTTGGATCGAGGGGAATAAGGAAGAAAGGAAGTTAGGGGAATCATTTATCTTATAAATAATGTTAGAGGCACACCACCCACCACAATCCCAACCACACCCCCCTCTCATTACTACAGTAAACCGGGCCCCATATGCCCGGTTTACTGTAGCAATGAGATGGGGGGAGTGTGGTTAGGGTTGTGGTGGGTGGTGTGCCCCTAACACCACTCTTATCTTATTTGGGAACATTTAGAAGGTGAAGTCATTCTAGTTCCTCTTGTTTACCCTTTAATAGTATAAAATTTGTTACCTTCAAATTGGGGTGTAAGTGTAAACAAGTGGAAGAGAACTCCCTTTCATTCCCTTCTCTTCTCTCACCTAGTTTCCTTTAACTTCCTTAACCCCATTGAAATCCAAACACGCCCTCACCGTTTGACAAAGGGTTACGTGAGAGATTAAGGAGACTTAATTCCTTCTTAACTCGTCAAACACAAAATATCTATATAATGGTTAAAGTGAGTTAACCCTTCATAATTTGTCAAACATAAAAAATATAGAAGGGTTAAGCTAACACCTCTAGAGGGATTAAAATAAGTTAACCCCTCAAAATGAGAGGTTTACTAATACTCATATTGAGAAGGATTAAGACTTAACCCTTCTAATTATAAAGAAAATAGTTAAAATCATTGTTATTCCTAAACACTAAAACTGATCATAATGACTAGGGGCTGTTTAGTTTGTTTTTTTAACTTGGTGGAAAAGTTTTACACCGCCTTCACATCAGATTTTTTATGGCCACGTAGGATATAAGCTTTCCGTCGGTTTTTTCTCATCTTTGGTTCGCTAGGGTTGAAGAAGGAAAACTCGGTGAAAATCACCGTCACATCAGATTTTTTTCTCTCCCCCAATTCCTTCCTCAACCTCGTGAAATCGACGAAAACTGCAGTCACGTCAGCTTTTTGCCATATAAACAAAAGTTTTTTCTTTTTTTCCATGCGAACCAAACACAAGAAAAATAAATACATTGGTTTCTCACTATTTTTTTTGTGCGAACCAAAGCGAAACAATCTATTTCTTGGAAAAGTTTGGAAAACTCAAAATTTGTGTTTTTGTACATGGAAATGCATTTCCCTATATCTAGGAAACGAACCAAACAACCCCCTAAAATAAAACTTATTTAACGACTTAATAATTTAGTCCTTCAAATTATCGAATGAACTAAGTGCATTAATCATTCTTTTTAACCCATCTTTCTTAACCCTTTGCCAGACGGGAACTAAAAGGTTTCTTCTTAGGGTTTTGCATATATACCCCTCACATTTTCAATATTAGCAAAATTTCCCCTCGAATTTTGGTATTTGCGGAGTTCCCACTAAAAACTAGCATAATAGGTCTTTCTACTGCTCTAACTTAAGATTGTTGATTTTAAAAAAGGTAATGTCGAAATTCTCAATAATTTCCTATAGAGTTGTAACAATTCCTGGTTTAAAAACTAAAGTTGTTATAAGAGAGAGGTAGAAGAAACCATATTTGTAACAATTCCTGGTTTACAAATATGGGGTATATATATGCAAAAAACATTTTTTTTTAGTTATCTATAACTTTTACGCATGACATGAGACTTCTCAAGAAATATCAGTATTATGTATTACCGCAGATATATCGGTCATATTGCTTCTCTTACCCTTTCATTTTCTATTCCAAACGAGCACACATTGCGGTGTGCCCTCTCTTTTTATTATTGTCTATGTCTATCCAAACACAATTAATTTCAGTTTATCTATTCCCTTACCATTCCCTCTCGTAGGGTTTGCTTGAATTACCATCTTTTGTATCTAAACCCGTCATAACAACTGAAAAGTCTAAAATTAGCTCGCGATCGAGATTGAAAGAGAAATTTTCACGTTGGCACCACATAAGACGTTGAAGTCCCAAAACTTCTAAAAAACTTTGGCACATGGAAGTGCTGAGAAAAACAATTGAGGGTATATAAGTGCAAAGTGGGAAAACATTAAGGTATCTAAGTGCTAATTAGCCTAAACGGATAAAACCCGACTCCAACAGGATCTAATGAGCTAGACCCGAACCCGGTTAGATTATTCAACGGTCCAGGGTTTAAGACTCTCCGCAACAACAACAGCAGCGTCGGCGGCTAATCGCGACGCTTTGCTCTCTTTCTTGCTGTCCAAGGCGTGGTTTTTAATCTTACAAATTCTCAAAAGCCGCCGATGGATCAAAACCCTAATACCTCAAATTCCAGCCCCATGGGCTCTCTATTCTCTTCCCCAGATCCCGAAACCCTAGGTTCGAATCCCGATCCGTCTCCACCGCCACCAGCCTCGCCGGAGATCGGAGAACCCCCTTCATCCGACGCCGGATCGGGTAAATCCGAGAAATCCACCGAGGATCCGAAACAAGAAGTTGAAGGGGAAGGAGAAGTTCAGGAGGGAGAAGAAGAGGAGGAGGCGGAGTGTGGATTCTGTTTGTTCATGAAAGCGGGAGGATGCAAGGATGCGTTCGTCGCTTGGGAGAAGTGCGTCGAGGACGCCGAGAAGGACGGAGGCGATATCGCGGAGAAATGCTTCGAGGTGACGTCGAAGCTGAAGCAGTGCATGGATGCTCATGCCGATTACTATGAGCCCATTTTGAGTGCGGAGAAGGCGATGGCGAATGAGGTTGAGAAGGAGAAAGGCGAGGCGGAGTCGAGGAAGGAGGAGGAGGCGAAGGAGGAGGCGGAGAGCGAGGAGAGGACGGTGGAGATTGTTGTTGACGAGTCGCGGAGTTAGGGTCTAACGCCGGAAGAAGGTAACTTTATGAGAGATCTTGAGGTTTTCTCTTACTTTTTGATTATGGGAATAACTTGAAGGATGAGTAGGGGAAGTGAATTCATCTGTTATACACTGAAAATTTTGATAATTATTACACAGGCAAATTTGATCGGATTCATGAGTATTATAGCTATTGGATCGTATTGTTTTTATTATGGGGGTCTATATGTCTTCAATGCTTCATTTTGTTGTCATTTTTGTTAAAATGATAGCTTCGTTTACTATTTCCACAGTAGATTTGCCTTTCTATTAGATACCAAATATAAATTGCTAGCATGATCGGCGATGAAGTGGTTGAATTTCCCTTATTGTTGAAAGGATGGAATATTTCTATGATAATCAAAGAAACGGCTGATTACAAACTATTTGCTCGGGTGAATTATGTCTTGGTACTAGTACAGTTTGCTCATTACTATTTAGGTATCTACGTAACCGTGATTTTCATATCATCTTCTCATATACATCAGAGCAAACAATTCCGTTCTTGCCATATCTTTGTCGATATTCTATTTTTTGTCCTTATACTGTTCTTAAACCAGTTTTATGGAAATTTTCTTGGCCAATACCCAATCTAAATAATGGACAGGAGAACATGCATTTGTGATAGAAAAATAAACATGAGTATTTAAACATATGACAAATATTTTCTTGCTGAAAACTGGTTTCATATGAAAACTGGACACCATTGAATTGAGAACTGAAATGTTCCATGAGTTTAACATGATCGGTCTTTTCTTTCATGACAGAGAAAATTAGGTACCTGGATTCCATAACAACATATATTTAAGGATCATGTAGAACCTTAATAACACGGTCTTCTGAGGAACATTGTGAACTCTTTTTACCTATTTCTTATGCTAAACCTAATACTGACTCGTTTTTTGAGTTTGTTTGCAATCACAGTGGATTTAAAATTAGGGATAAGTTCCTCAAATAGAATTATGCTTTTTATTCAAGTTTGGACTTTGGACTAGTATGAGAGTGGAAATGTTCATTAAAAGAGCAAACTCATACTCCTTGGAAAAATATGAGGGTCTTGTGATAATTTTAGTCATGCAGGAAGGTTATCTGATAGACCAAAATCTAGAGGGACTGGGTGGAATTTTTCAGAAAAATAAATGGAGTCCTATTTGGAATTTTTATCTGTTTACGGATGTTTTTGCTTTCTAGAGGTAAGCCCATAACACTTGCCTATTAACATTGTTAGTGAATGCGGGAAGTTATCATCCTCACCTATTAGATTCTTGTTGTACTGTTGGATTTGTAGGCTGGATTTGTAGGCAGGCTTTAGCCTAGTTGACATCTAAACTGATTCACGGTTAGGGAATGTAGTTTGATTTGTAAGAGTTCTTACCATAAGGTATTGTCGACCCTAAGTATGAAACTGTACCCTGATTGTGCATATTGCAGGAGAATTATGATAGTAGAAAGTATTTTTGTAAAGGTTACTGTAACAGTGAATCGTATAGAAGTCAATTACTCTGTTCCTATTAGTCATGAATAAAATATTCTTCTACCAAGCACACATCCTAATGATATGCAAGCAATTGAACTAACTGATGCCAATGCACCTAAGAAAGTCATAGCACAGCCTGTAAGAGTTTGTAGAATATTAAGAAGTGCAGTATCATTTAAATTTATCATGAATTTGGATTTTCATCTTTCCCTCATAAAAAAACTAAACCAAAGTCAAATTTTCTAATCTACAGGAATGAAATCTTTGTTATGCTTTCTTTTTGTTCTTGACTAATGATTCTAATCGCTGAGAAACACTTACCTTGATGATTTCACTCTTAGCGACTGGCGAGCTCCCCCGATCACTGTAACTACTAACAAGGTAAAGAGTACTTCTTAAATATCTATTTAAGTTAGTTAACAACAGTAACTTAAACTTAAGAAGTGTAAGTTAATAGTAAACTTAAGTTTAAGTTTAAGTTTAAGTTAATATTAAGTTTTTTGTTGATGGTAAACTTAAGTTTAAGTAAACAGTAAACTTAAGTTAACAATATTTTAATTAACAGTAAACTTAAGTTAACAATATTTTAGTTAATAGTAAACTTAAGTTTAAGTTTATTGTTAACTTAAACTTAACAGTAACTTATAAGTTAACAGTAATTTGAGTTGAGAATGAGTTTTTTACTGTTGAGACGAACTTATAATTTGAGTTGAGAAGTATAAACATACAAAGAACTATTGTAATTGGTAAACCAAACATAATAGTGTTGGTATTTTAGTATTTATGCATTTTTGATTGAGTATATATATATATATATATATATATACCTAGGCGACTAAGCGCTGGGCGCCAAGTCCGACGCCTAGAAGCGCCCAACGTTTAATGTAACATTGGCGACTGTGATGCCTAATCTGACATTCTAGTGTCAAATAAAAGATTAATAGTTTCTTCTCTTTGCCAAGTATGCAGTTTATCAAGTTTCTGTCTTTCAAGACTTATCTTAACCTTTGTGAGTTGAGTTCTTCATCGATTCATGCATTGTAGTGAATCAAGCGATGATCTTTAAGATGTTTCAGCCGCAATAACTTCTCTTGAAGACCTTTATGTTATTGACTTTAGCTGAAATTACATGTTGAGATCTATATTTCTGTACAATTGAATGGCTTTATTGCTTGGAACTATTCTTTTGGTATATTTGAAATCTTTTTGACATGTAGTCATGCTACACGAAATGATATACGATTTACTGACAAGCAATTTTGCTAACTTAAAGGAAGTCTGTAAGTACTATTAGATGAGAAAAAAAGGAAGGATCTTTTCCATGCTAGCCGCTTGGCAACAATAAAACTTTACATACAAATCAATCATGTATAGTTATTAAACGCTTACAGTTGATTGCTTGGTTGATGATCAAAGTGGAGGGCCTCATGGTTACAAACAGGATGCTTTTATGAAATCGAAAAAAATTAGTATCTCAAACTCAGGTTAAGTCGACAACGATTCAGATGCCTTGCCTACTTTAACAAGTCCTCATCAATCATCATGCTGTGTGCAGTTGGTCGGTCAATGTTAACTGATGCATTTTAGATAATAGCTTCTTGGGAGTTGTGTGTGATGCACGTTTCTCTCGGTCCTATTCTTTTTTTTTTGGACGGAGAAGTCTTAGTTTTGCACTCTATTCACATTCTATTTCGAAACTGTTATCTTACACGGGTGACTCATTTTGGAGAATGTCTTGTATTTAACGTTCATCAAGCGTCAGTTTTGTGGGAAAGGAGGTCCACAGAACATTTAGTAGAGGTTTGCCATGTAAATTAGATGCGAGGACGACAGAGTGATGATTATATCGTACCTGAAATGCGATGTCAGGGCCTAAAGATTGTATGTCTACTTCTTAGTGCTATTAACTGTTAAGAATTTTTCGTATCAGAGGGGGACTAAACCATGTTTGAATTGAAACTGAGATATTAATGCAAGTTCTGCTCTAGTTTTGAGACAAATGGATTCATACCTAAAAGATGCTGACAATAAATTCTTTCAAAATTGACTATTTGGATTCATATCTTTTATAGGATTGAAGCAGTTTGCATTAATAAGCCCCCAATATTCATAATTTAATGAGGTGTAACACATGATTTTTTTTATTTTTAATTGTTTAGATCCATTGACAAATAATTTCGTAGAGGTTAAAAATCACGACTTTATGAGTTATAATCCATTATTTTTCTTCATGTTTGGTCATTTCGAACTATCATCAAATAATTACGTGGTTGCCAAAATTTATGATTCCGTGGCTATAATTCACGATTATTGGCCATTTTTAATCGTTTTGACATATTGATAAATTGAAAGTACCCTAGAGGAAGGTGAATAGGGTAATTGTTAATCTAATCCGATATTAATACCAAAATTAAAGCTTATTAACTAATATATCCTAACAATGTGATATACAATGAGATATGCAATGATATACAATTAAACTAAGGGCGATATAAACATGAGACAAATGTGATATGAAAATATATAAGAGAATGAGAGTGCCAATACCAAACTCAAACACAAACAAATGGTCACGGAGTAAGGTCAATCTTGACCTATGTCTCCGCTCCTCACCCTCGAGGAGAATCTCCACTATAAACACAAAAAACTACAGAATCGGTTTTCAACGCTCACCGATAAACATTTACAACTCACACGATTGTAATCACACAATACACACCTCTAAGTGTTGACCTAGCCCGTGTCACCTTCCTCAAGTGCTCGGAATTACAACCTCTCCCTAGGATCTACAACCGACGTCACTCCTATTGGAATTGATCTCGTCTCTCACCAACCACTTCTCTAAGTGTCCTTGTATATTACAACGTGTTCTCTCAACAATAATAAGCTCAAATAAATGTTTTGTTCTCCAACAAAGATGAGAACGAAATTATAAGCTCACACTCAATGAATCACACTCACAACCTAAGTATACCGTGTGTGAAAAAATACTTAAGCTCAATATGAGTGTGTGTGAAACAATAAGTATAATGAAATTTAAACTCAAATTAATCTAGCATAAATATATAAAAAACGATAATAATAATTTGCTAGAAGAAATGAGTTTAGAAAAATTCTCCGATAAACAAGAGGTAGAAATTTGAGGTAGAGATCCCCAAATACGTTGTAGTTGTAAAACACAAATGAAACACTTTTTATTTATCTTGAAACTCTTAAAAATTTGTAAAACTTGTTCTAAACTTCCATAAATGAAACTAAGTGTTGAGGATTCTATATAGTTTCTCAACATATCAGCCCAAACTAGAGGAAAACACAAAAAAATGAGGCAAACCCCATAAAAGACAAATATAGAAAAAACTAGCCATTATTGCAACGGATACAATATCGATCGACTGATGGTTAAGTGCCGGTCGATCGAAAGATGACTATTGGTCGACTGATACATGTGTATCGGTCAACTGATGATCCTGAGAAACCAAACTTTGAAAAACTTCTCTGGTCGGTCGATCAGTTTGACTTGATCGGTCGACCGATAGCTCTAAAAATTCAGATGCTGAAAGATCAGTCTGGTTGGTCGACCGATGACCTAGTGTCGGTCGACCGATGCTGATATTTCAGATACACATATTTTCCAGAAATGCTGACTTTGTAAATTCAATTAAAAATAACAAATCAACTCCAAAAATAGTAAAATTTGGG